TCATTACTCTTAAAGTATATGTGGATTAATTGTATTATTTAAGCCAAGCATTTTATCTGTTCAAATGTTTGACATTTTCTCTGTACTCTCTTTCAGTATAGAAGAATCACATTTTTATATGACAGCAAAAGGTTGACATAGACACCTGGGTAGTGTGTTCCCGTCTCATTTACCAGTATCTGCTGATAACATCTCCTGGGCCTTGTGATTCAGTGCTTTTTAATATTTTGAGTCTTTGAGTGTTGGTCCTCTAGGCTTGTGTACTTGCCTTGTACTTTGCTTCTGCTCTTGCTTTGCTGATGATTATGGAATCTGTCCTAGTATTTATTTTTCTTTTGCATTTTCTTGTTTCAGACACCCTGGCTATAGATTGCAAGTACTGTATATTAATTTAGAAGGTCTATATATTAATGTAGAAGGAATTAAATTATATGCACTGCACCAGGAACCTGGAATACAGGTATAAATAAATGTCCCCACCCTTAAACACAAATAATCTACTCAGAAGACAAACACATATAACCGTCTATAACATACAGTGATAACTATTGCATTAGTACAATAGGTAGAAATACTGTGGAAAATGGAAGCACAAAGGATACATTTAGCTTGAGTAGCCCAGAGAGATTTCACGGAGGAATTAATGATTTTCTGATTAGAACTTGCTGAATAGAGAAGAACCAGCAAGGGATGTGAGGCAGAGGAGATTACATTTGGAACAGCAAGAGATGAAGCGGGGAAGAAGCACGGAGCCAGATTCTGATAGTCCTGAATGTGGGTGACAAAGATTTGAGCTATGTCCTCTAGGCCATAGAGAGTCATCAAAGGTCTCTAGTAGGTTGGGCTATGAAAGCTTTCTTTTTTCCCTTAAAATTGGCAGCATTTTGGAGGACAGATCAAAGAGGGACAGATAAGAGACAGGGGGATAGCAGGACGCTTTCCTAAGGGCCCAGTGGCAATGGAGATGTGAAGAGGGTAAGGTAGAACCCAGGGATGCTTTGAAGTTCTTTAAACTGAATTTAAGAACTGTAGAATGAGGAAGATGAGGGAACGGGAGGGATTGAGGCTGACCTCGGATCTTTAAGGTGGTACAGGACACTTTGATTTGATTGTGGTCATTATGGATTTATAGGTTTTCAACTGTTCTATTCCTACAAGTTGTTCACGTTTTAAAACTTAGTTTGTACGGCAAAACTATACCTTATTTGGCCATTTGAGACAGGTTGTTAAGTGCTTACGAAGAGGATTGTTTCTCTAGTTTCGGCTAATTTTCAGCGAAGTAATTGCTATTTTTAATCTGAATTTTTGCACCAACTGGTCTCCTTTCCTAGTCTTCGCCCCAGTCAGTTCCCGTGACAGCAGAGTGATATAGAGAGGTCAAATCTGATCATTGTCTTTTTTCTTCCATTTAAAACCATTCGTTCACTTCATGCCCTTATTGTGAAGTCCACGTGTGTTCACATCACTAGACCCTATGTGACTTGGTCTGTGTTTTCTTCTCCAAGACTTTTCTTGACATCCCTTGCTTTGGTCTTTAGCTGGAATAAATCTCTTTTAGTTCCTCAAATGCACCATGCTCTGCACCTTCAACAGTGCTGTTTCTGTTTGGAAAACTCTTAGGCATTGTTACCACTCAGTTCAAGCCAACTTCCACTTATCTTGCAGGTCTTGTTCAAATACCACTTTTCCTGACCTCCTGACTCAATATTACCAATTTAATTGTATCCTGTTCTTTTCCTGTCAGGATACTTACCAACTTCATCACACATTGTGGTTACACATTTGATGATAATTCTCTTAGGCTTCAGTGTTAACATCTCTGAGGGTAAGAAATGCGTTATTCTTTCTGAGGGGGAGGTAATTAGGTTTCTTCATTGATTTCCTCTTTAAGAAGGTATCAGGAATTGAACTCGGATCCTCTTGGGTGCTTAGAAGAAATGTGTTATTCTTGCCCACTTCGTTAGTTGGGCATTTAGTTGAGGCTTAATGAGCATGTGTTCACTGAGTAAATGAGTAGCTGTAATGGAGAAGGAAGGTGAAATACTGATAATAGAATTAAAACATTTGTTGGGAACCTAATTTTCAAGCACTGCACTCTGTCCTGGGGATTAAGCAATGACTAGAAACAATTCTCTCCTAAGGTTTTCATGTCTAGTTTAGGGATATGCATTAAAGAATTATTACTCACTATAATAAGGGCAAACATTGAATACTGGAAAAGGATTACAGAAACCTAGCAGAAGACCCACTAACTTCTCCTGGACTAGGTTACACAAAAGATGGCACATGAATTTTTTAAGTCAAGAGGGGTATAATTTCTTGATATTGAGATATAATTACATTGAGATAAGTATACTGAGATCTAATTTACATTCAGTAAAGCCCATCCTTTTTAACCATACACTTCAATGAGTTTTGACAAATGGATGCAGCTGCAATCACCACCAGCCACAATGAGGATATAGAACATCCCTGCACACCCCCTCCCCCCAATTCCCTTTTGTCCTTTTGCCGTCAGCCCCCTCCAGCTCTCCCCAGCAACCACCAATGTGATTTCTGTCCCTAGGGTTGCCTTTGCTAGAACAATACATAAATAGAATCATATAGTATGTAGCTTTTCGTGTCTTGCTTTTTGTCATTTAACATAATAATTTTGAGATTCATCCATCTTGTTGTATCAGTAGATTATTCTTTTTGAAAGAAACAGAGATTTATGAGGTATAATGACATACAATAAACTACACATATTTAAAGTGCACAATTTTGAAAGTTTTGACATTTGTAATATACCCATGAAACAATCACCACGACAAAGATAGCAAATATAGCCAACACCCCCAAAGGTTTCTTCAAGCTTCTTTATAAACCTTTCCTCCTGTTCCTCCCTTGTTCTCTGTCCTGAGGCAACCACTGATCTACTTTCTGCCTTTGCAAGGTAGTTTGCATTTTCTAGAAGTTCTTATCCATGAGATCATGGAGTATTCTGGCTTCTTCCACTCAGCATAATTATTCTGACAGTCATACATTTCATTGCATCTATCCATTGTTCATTCTTTTAAAAAAATTTTTAAAATGGATATGCCACAATTTGTTTATTCATTCACCTGTTGATGGACATTTGAACTGTTTCCTGTTTTTAGCTTTTACAAATAAAGCTACTCCGAGCATTCTTGTACAAAGTCTTTGTGTGGACATATGCTTTCATTTGTTTTATATAGTTATTTAGCAGTACTAAGGCTAGATCATATGGAAGAAACAGTGAAACTGTTTCCACAGTAGAGTTGTACCATTTTATGTTCTCACCAGTAGTGCTTGAGCGTTCCTTACCCACACTTGATATGGTTGGTCTTTTAATTTTAGACATTCTGAAAGGTAAGGGATGAGATCTCATTGTGGTTTTAATTTGCATTTCCCCTGATGACTACTGATGCTGAGCATCTTTTCATGAACTTGTGTACCATTCATCTTTTTAATTTGGTGGTTCAAAACCTATGTATCTGCACCCCATCCCCCTCCCAGACACATCTTTAAAAAAAATGAGTTGTTTTCCTTCTTATTATTGAGTTGTAAGGGTTCTATGTATATTATAGCTACAAATGCTTTATCAGATACAGGTTTTTAAAATCATATCTCCCCATATGAATTTATTCTTATACAAGGCATAGGATTTGACTGAGAGAAGAAGAGACTAAAGGATATTTCAGTCATACATATGAATAGAAGTGCAAATGGAAAAGTTGTTTTTGTGGTTTCATGAGGCTCCAAATGCGTGGGAATATAGGAAAAGGTGGTGGAAAGTGAGTTCACAAAATTAGGAAGAAGACTGAAAATGGAGACTTTTTGGTGTCATGCTGTGGAATTTAGACTGTTCCTTTGTGTGTGTGAGCACTAACATTAATAAATATCTGTACAATAACAACATTGATACTAGTAATTGAGCATCACAGTTTATAGAATTCTTTCATATGCACAATTGGCAGTATTTTCCTCTACGTTATTTAAGTCCTGTGACAGACATGGGGAGACACTGAGACTTGGAGATAAGGGTACTCAATCTTAGACATAGGGTTTGGGGTTTTGAGCCAATGTCTTTTTGGTGAGTGTGTGTGTGTGTGTGTGTGTGTGTGAGTTTAATGTGTGAGGAAAGAGTGACAGCTGGGTTGGTCTGTAAGGGCAGGAGAGCACTTACCCCATTGGGCAGGGGACAGTGTCCTGCCGAGCTCTGCTCGATGGCGCAGTAGACCCTGACCAAGGTTGGGGAGTACACAGTTGTGGTATTCTAAAGATGATAACTCACAGTTACAGAATGTTTAACAAAAATTCCCAAATCACAGAGGGCTTTTCTAGATTCTGTGAGTTTTCTTTTAATTGTCATGATTCTAGATGAAGAAAATATTGTATTTGTTATATGTATCTGTTACTTAATTAGCTAAGGTGAAAAACAGTATGACCAAGTTCTTTATTTTTTAATTTTAATTTTTTTTTCTCATGGGACTTTCAAAGATAATGAGAAGTTTTCATTGTCCTCTGGTTCCATGTATTCTGCTTCCATTGTGCTGCTCGGGGCCCTGCCCCCTTTCCCTCTGCCCCTGACAGGCACTGTGTTCCTGGTACCTCAGGTCAACTTCGGAGATGTGAAAAAAAATTACACGCTGAACAGGTTCACAATTTAGGAAGTAAATCTTCCTTCCTTTTTTTTTTTATTCCCCCTCACCTGGAAGTTTTGAAATTTCCTCATTTCTCTTTTTTTTGCAAATTTCATCCATTTTTAACTCCTAGTGTGTTCTTTTTGTGGTAAAAGAATTAAAGCATTTTGAATATTAGGTTAATTACAAATGTGTATCCATGAGACATGTTCGGAGTCATGAATAAGTACTAGTTGAAAAGTTCCTTAATTTAGTTATTATTTAATACTGAAACTTCTTGGGAAGCAAAGCTTGCAATTTAAAAGGCATGTAGTGTTTTAAAAGGTGATTTTCCTTTCTTGGTTTAGTTGATCAACTTCCTTCTGGACAAAGATTCCTACTACCCGAAACTATTCTCATTATGGATACATTAAACAGGAAATGTAAGTATATTTATACCTAGCATATATGGTACATATTGAAGTGCTTTCCATTACTATGTGACTTATGAATTTTAATAGTCATATTTTTCTTCTATTTATGCATGGATTCCCAGAAAGTTGAAACTGGCAAAGTAATTGTCATCTAAGTAGAGAGAATTTTTGACATATGTTCTCAAAATACCTTAAGCACTTAAATTGTAATGGAGAACAAACAATATACGTGCCTAACATGTAGTTCTTTTATTTAAATATAAAACAATTGTTAATAGCATTGTGGTTTCTACCTACATAAAGCACATACTTTTTCTTATAAGTGAAGTCAAAACTTGACGTTTCATTGTGTGAAATTGAACTGAAAACTTGCATATTACAAATGAGTAGCAAAAATGCATTATTGGTTAAAAAGGGTTATAATTCAAATAGACAAGAGCTTTCTGAGTGAGTATTATGTGCGAGACATGTAGTGGCTTAAGTGATATAAAGAACAGATAGAATCCCTAGACTTCAGGAGCTAGCAAACTAGTTAGAGATATAAATACAAAAGTAATTCTCACTCAGCTTGGCTTATGCTGTAATAATATACAAATCACTGATTCCAGGGTACATAACACATATACATATATATTTATATATGTGTCTGCGTATATATATTATTTACATACAAATAATATACACAAATAGTATATACACAATTATCTTTAGATCCTAAATATATGTGATGCTTCATTCCAAGTCTAATTGAGCTAAATAAAAGAGCTTAAGCAGTCTTAATAACACGCTGTATTTTTCATCATGTCATAAATTTCTTATAGTTACATATTATTCCTTGAACAGTTTGTCAGTTTTAAACAAAATAAATAAAAAGCAAAAGAGAGATAACTATCAAAACTAGTGAAGCTAATTCCAAAAACAGAAGAAAATGGGAGGAAAATGTGCGAAATTAATTAAATCTGGAATTATGTAAATACATTTCTATGAAAAGATACACACCAAAGAAATGCCATAGTTTCTTTTTTTGGTATAGCGTGTTCCACATGTAGGGAAGGTACACAGAACTTATCTCAAAAATACTTCTTTTCCTACTTGAAGAAAAAGAATGAATAAAATATACATTTTTAGGTCTTTGTTTTAGTTTGCTGGGACTGCTATGGCAAAAACCACAGGACATCTTAATAGAAATTGATTTTCTCATAGTTCTGGAGCCTAGAAGCCCAAGATCAAGGAATTGGCATGTTTGGTTTCTTCTGAGGCCTCTCTGCTTGGCTTGTAGATGGCTGTCTTCTCCCTGTGTCTTCACGTGGCCTTCCCTTTGTGAGTGTCTGTGTCCTAACCCCTCTTCTTACAAGGACACTGGTCATACTGGACTATCGGCATGCTCACCCACAGGAACTCATTTGACCCTAATTACTCTTTAAAGCTCTATCTCCAAATATAGTTATATTCTGAGGTACTAGGGGTTGGGGCTTAAGCTTATAAAGTTTGGGGGCTGGGGAGACACAATTCAGCCCCCGACCATGGGGTAACTGTAAAGTGATTTAGTCTTACTACAACCCTAGCTATTCAATCTTCCTTATGATTCATGCATATTTTTGTTTTAGTCTTTAAATTAAATCAGCTGAGTCTAAAGCCCAAACCATTTATGTCGACCTCTAGAAAGCCTTCCTGCCTCTTAGCACTCATCCCATCCCCACTCTGTCATTGTTCCCCTAATCTTTCTTCCCCTTTGATCAGTCCCTCTGGCTAGGACAAATAGCAAAAACTGGTGTGGCTTGAGGTAATAGCTAGATTCAGTGAATAATGTACAGAAAGAAAACTTTTCTGTGAATAATATAGAGATATGACTGATATTAAAAAATCTATTCCCGCTGCCTGTTACGTATGTCCACACTATTTCCCCATCTTGGCCTTTGAGTAAGTGGTGCCTTGCTTTGGTTCAGTAGCAGTAGAGGGAAGTCTTGTGGGTATGCACATTTATGTCACTGAGACTCTCAGAAGTCAAAGAACAATGTCAGATTAAGCTGAATTCTAAAGCAGGGTAGATAATGGGTTTGCAGTTTTGGAAAACTATTTTAAATATATTTCTTTCTGGCTTCTCTCTGCTAGGTCCAGGCTCTTGTATAAGCATTTATGCATCACTTTAATTTATAAGTGACGATTTTAAGTGAGAAGCATAGAAATCACACAGAAATATATACAATAATTCTGAGACTGCTAAACTGTATATCTCTTGAGTTAATAAGAAAGAGGCATACAGCAAAGCAGCATTCATGCTGTTAGAAAAAGCACCAAAATGTCAGGCCAATTCTAAGGGACGTTCTCCATGGCCCAGTCCCCGCTTCCCCGATTGAAAGAGATAAACAGTACAGGTACAAAGGGCAGTTTTTGCATGTGAAGTTATGCAGTAAAAAGATTGTTTCAGAGTTTCACGGGTAGAACCCTAACAACTCAGATTGCAGTAAAAGTGCCATGATTCACTCTCGCAAAACTTTAATTCCACTAACAGTATAATTGCAGATCACGGGCCTTTGAGGCTTTGGGCTCCCCCTGTCTCTCTAACTCTCACCTCTTGTCACTCTTCCTCACTTCTTGGGTTCTAGCCACATCCCGGTTTTCTCAGTTCCCAGAAAAGCCAAGTTATTTTTCATCTCAGGGTCTTTTGCCCTTTGCATTCAATACTTCCTCCAAACTCACCCCCACCTCCCACACATAAACATCAAGGGAGTATCTCCATCCTTCACTTTTCAATTTAAATGTCACCTCCACAGAGAAGGTTTCCAGACGTTTCCTCTGATTTGTAAATGTGCCCTCTTGCATATTTATTGTTGATTGGAGAGAATCGAATCAGTTCAGCTGGCTGGGGTCCAGCAGCAGACGCCTGGGTGGACATTGCAAAAGGGGAGAAAACAAAATGCTGGGAGAGCAAGAGAAGAACGGACATCAGGATACTAAATATTTAATAAAGTAATATGAAACAGCCTGAGTTTCTTTATTCCATATAACTTGAAAACCTATTTCATGGCTTTCTTTTTGTTTGGATTAAGTTATAATTATTACTGACCGCTAGCTTAGGACTCTAAAGTGACACTCTGCCGTAGGGATATAATGCAAGCCCATATGGACTTTTTAAAGCTTTTCCATAACGACATTACAAATAAATAGAAACGGGGAAAAATAATTTTAATAGTCTATTTTATTTAACCCAGAATGTCCAAAGTATAATCGTTTCAATGTGTAATCAATATGAACATAAAAATTATTACTGAGCTGGTTTGCATTGTTTTTCATAGTAAGCCTTCAAAGTCCAGTGCATCCTTTGAGCTCGTAAGCCCTCAGTTTCTGCTAGTCCAGTCCACGTCCTCAGTGGTCACATGGGCTAGTGGCTACCTTGATGGTCAGTGAGGATCTGAAGGCTATTTAAGCGAGATTTCATCGATACTACCCTTTTGTCGTCTGGGAGGATTTTTAATTTAATTTTGTGGCAGTCTAACTTCGAGTTTTTTTTTTTTTTAAGATTGGAAACGTCAACTTTCCATTTTCAAAGACTTTTTAATAAATTTATGGAAAAATATTTTTTCACATTTCTGAAAACACAAGATCCATAACTTCTCTCTTCATTGTGTTGGAAGAGAAGTGTGGTTGACAGGGGTTTGCTGATGGCACTGCTGGTTCTGCTGCTGCTGGTGAGATTTAGTTGTGAGGCACTTCGTACTGAAATGGCATATATGAATGATTCTCAAAGCATCAGACTCGCCCGAGAGCCAGTCATCATGCAGGTTGCTGGGCTGCAGTCCCGGAGATCCTGGCTCAGTAGGCTGGGGTAGGGCTGAGACTCTGAGTGTCCAGCACGCATCCGGTGCTTCTGCTGCAGCTGGTGGAGGCTGTTACTGGCAGAGATCACCTTCCCTCTCGACTGTCACAGGGCTTGTCCAATTGCCCTGGGCAACACCTTTCATTTCCTCATGTGGCCACTCATTCCCGACCCTGGAAAGACTGTTCTTGTTTGTTTCTGTGTGTGTGTTGCGGGGGTGAGGGGTAGAGATGCTGCGGGTAGTGGTGGACGGAAGAAGTCACCTCTACATTCATTGTTGTATTCCATTTGGGGAAAAGAGGAGCAAAAGAGCCTTAGAGGGAAGGAATGAGAGAACCAATTTCGGAAAAGGAGACTCTTAATGAAACACCACTAAGATCGGGGGAATACAAGCTCCCTTGTGACTATTCCTTGTATTTCACGTTTTTGCTTTGAGGAGGTGTCTTATACTGATGATAGACTTTCATTGATGAAGCAATAATAGTTCTGTTGAATGACTACTCAATCGAAAGTCAATTATTTCCCCCATTGTTTTTTTTTTTAGCCACTCTAATATCCACTAAGTTCCAAATCCTAAAATTAGCTTCGAGGCTCACACGGAAAAAAGTACCATTGTTTATAATGAAAAGAGTAATACATACAGCTACCGAATCGCATTGAATTTCTACAAAGCTGCAATTGTGTGAATCAGGCCTCTGTGCATACTAGGTAAAATTAGTGGGAGATTTCTGAGTGATATGAAAAGTTGTTATCAAAATTAATATAACTTTGATAAACCTATGAATTTAAAAAAAAATTAAAGGCTAAATTTAGGAAACAATGAAGTTAAATTAACCTTTATTTTCTCTGAAAACTTTTTAATTTTTCTGTTGCATTATCTAATATTTATTGAGCACTTATTACTGGCAGGTATTGTTCTAAACGCTTTATCTCCATGAACTCATTCTGTCCTTGCAATGATCTCATGACTCTATTATTATTGTTTTTATTTTATAGATAGACGTTACCCAGTCAGTTAGCAGGGATGACATTCTGGGACACTTAACTGCTACGTTACATGCTCCTCTCCTTGTTCAGCTGCCTTTGTGCTTTTGAAGCATAATATTCTCTTTCTTGATCTCCTCCTTTTCTTTAAATTTATACCCAAGTACACATAGCTTTGGATTTTGTGCTTGGAATTTTTTCTCTTTCA